GGGGAGGTCTTGTACAAGAAAAGCCATAGTCAAGTTCTGTTAAGATGCGTCGGTGCTGAAGAGGCGAAAATGATAATGGAAGAAGTACATGACGGAGTTTGTGGAGCACATGCAAATGGACATATGATGTCGAGACAAGTAATGAGATGCGGATATTTCTGGTCCACACTGGAAGGTGATTGCATCAACTATGCTAAAAAATGTCATAAATGTCAGATTTACGGAGATAAAATAAATGTTCCACCTCATCCGCTTCATGTCATGACATCACCATGGCCTTTCTCCATGTGGGGCATGGATGTTATTGGGCAAATCCATCCGAAGGCTTCGAATGGTCATCGTTTCATCCTTGTAGCCATCGATTATTTCACCAAGTGGGTAGAAGCTGCTTCCTATGTCAGTGTCACTCAATCTGTTATTTGTAAGTTTTTGAAGAAAGAGATCATATGTCGGTATGGTTTACCTGAAAGAATCATTACCGATAATGCTACAAACTTGAACAACAACATGATGAAGGTAGCTTGTGAGCAATTCAACATAAAGCATCACAATTCTACTACCTACAGACCAAAGATGAATGGTGCAGTAGAAGCAGCAAATAAGAACATTAAAAAGATAGTGGAGAAAATGACCGAGACCTACAAAGACTGGCACGAGAAGCTGTCATTCGCTTTGTTTGCTTACCGAACCTCGGTACGAACCTCGACTGGGGCAACTCCATTTTCGCTGGCATATGGAATAGAAGCAATGTTGTCCATTGAAGTGGAAATCCCATCATTACGGGTCTTGACAGAAGTCAAACTGGATGACGCGGAATGGGCTCAATCCAGATATGATCAGCTAAATTTAATATATGAGAAGAGACTGAAGGCCATTCTTCATGGCCAAATCTATCAGAAACGAATGATTCGAGCACATGACAAGAAGGTACGCCCGAGAACATTCTGAGAAGGAGACCTGGTGCTAAAGAGAATTTTGCCAGTTCAGAAAGATTTCCGAGGAAAATGGACGCCAAATTGGGAAGGACCCTATGTTGTGAAAAAGGCCTTTTCTGGAGGAGCCCTTGTCCTGGCCGAAATAGACGGACCTGACCTACCACATCCCATCAATTCGGATGCAGTCAAGAAATACTTCGCTTAGGATGAAAACCCGAAGGGGCGTCCTAAGTAAAAAAAATGAAAAACGTTTAGGGTGAAAACCCGAAAGGGCACCCTAAATTGAAAAAAATGAAAAAAGAAAAAAAAACAAGAGAAAAAGAAAAAGAAAAAAAAGGTGGGTTCAAGATGAAAACCCGCAAAGGGTGTCTTGCAACCAAGGATGGGTCCGAATTGAAAACCCGAAAGGGCAATTTGGATAATTCAAAGAAATCCAGGCAGTTGAAACTTCTCGGCATCTGAATTTTCTGCATACTCAACGAGTCGGAGAAGGGTTGCACTCTCCTGAAGGTCGTCACATTTTTTACAGATCCTTTGGCAAAGGCTGTATTCAAGGTCACCCAACGGCTTTTCAGCTCAGAAGTGCCCACATTATTGAAATCTAAGACACTCGTTTATACCTCATTATGTCTTCACCCTCCAAAATGTTTGTCATGTATTATTTGTTCTTTTCCCTTGTGAATGAAAGACAATCCTTTTCTCTACACCAATTCCTTTTGAGCATATTGGATTGAGCTTAAACTTAGTGATTTATTTATTTGTGCAAAAGATATTCGTATATTACTGTATAAAGGTTCATTGAAAAGTACAGGTACTCGGAAGCCGATCAAGGCTCATTCATTTAATTGAGATGGTCGAGAAGCATTTCCCAGATCAAAGATAAAAAAACGAACATCAGATTGGAACATTTGAAGAATCCAAGATCATGGATTGAAACCTCATGACTCCATAATCAAGATTTCTAGACAGGCCTTAGCTAGAGTCAAAATCAACTTCGCAACGAAGGATATCTAGCTCGAAGCCAAACATCCACGATTTCAACTCCACGATGGAGGATATCGTGCCACTCAAGACAACACAAGTTCAACTTCACAACGAAGGGACGACTGGTTGTCAATGAACAATTTCCCAATTTCAAAGCCAAAGATATTGGACTCAAGACAGCACAAGCTCAACTTCACGGCGAAGGGGCGACTGACTGCCAATGAACAATTTCGAAGCCAATCTCAACTTCATAGCGAAGGATATTGGACTCGAGACAACACAAGTTCAACTTCACAATGAAGGGACGACTGGTTGTCAACAACAATTTCCTAGTTTCAGGGCCAATTTCAACTTCACGACGAAGGATATTGGACCCAAGACAGCACAAGCTCAACTTCACAGCGAAGGGGCGGCTGACTGTCGAAAAACAATTTCGGAGCCAATCTCAACTTCACAGCGAAGTATATTGGAATCAAGACAACACAAGTTCAACTTCACAACGAAGGGACGGCAGATTGTCAACAAGATTTTGTTCAGAGTCAATTTCAACTTCACAGCGAAGGATATTAGACTTGAGACAGCACAAGCTCAACTTCACAGCGAAGGGGCGGCTGACTGTCAACAAACAATTTCCCAGTTCCAGAACCAATTTCAACTTCGCAGCAGAGGATATTGGACTCAGAACAATACTACTTACTTGGATTTAAACTTCACTACGAAGGATATACAATTCTCAGGTTCAACTTCATGGCGAAGGGACCATATATAAATTCCAACTTCACAGATAGACCCAACTTCACAACGAAGGAGTCATCTGTAATACGGCAACACCGAAGTCTTCAAGTCAAGTTTCAGCTTCACAACGAAGTATCTTTGGCTAGAAGACAATCCATGAGTTACTTCCAGTACTCCGAGTTCGATCTCAACTTCATGACGGAGGATTTGTACTCAGAATTTTCCAGTCTGACTCAACCTCACGACGAGGGAGTTATTTCAGGATTCAATCCAAATCGACGAATCAGTCTTAATATCGGATTTCAACTCTACGACGGAGGGCATTCGATAAGGACGAAATTTGTGTCTTTTAATCTTTGCTCTATTTTCGTTACACGATAATGAGCAAAGAGGGGCAGCTGAAGACACTAAATTTTTGTTCTTCATTATTTATATTATATAATATTTTCATCTATATAATATATACATATTATTTACATTTTTTTCCTCTTCTCTTTTCAGACCCAAATCCAACAGATGGCCCAAGACCCGTGTAACTCCTAACCTAGGTCAGCTAGGGTTTCCCAAACCCTAGCAGTTTCAGCCGCCTCTCACCAGCGCCGCCTCTCCCAGCCTCACGAGTCCTCATGTCTCACGCCTTCCACTCAAGAGTCCAAGCAGTCGTACGAATCCTCGCCACCCACGCTTCTCTTGGACGGCTTTCTCGCCGCCGTGAACTCCTCAACAAGCAAACAACACGTCAACAAACGTGGATGCATGAAACACAAACACAGAGCATTAGTTTTTTACTAGGATTTGATATCCTAAAATAGGATTTTCCTTTGCTATAAATAACATGTAATCAGTACCATATGAAAAGAGGAAAAATACGAAATACAAGAAGAAGATTACTAGCAATTTTTTAGCGAAAACGGAGCTTTTCTTTTGCAAATTTTTGAGAGAACAATAGGTAAAGTTCTTACCTTTTGGTAGTTATTTTGTATGCTCGTCCGTTTGCTTCTCTTTCTTTTTTTTACTCAAAATACACTAAAAACGCCGATGAACAGGGGGTTTTTCGAAGTTTTCGAACCCATATTCACACCCCGAGGCTTGGTTTTAGAGAAAACGATTTTCAAAACGAGGGCAGCGAGAGCTTTTAAAAAAAATAAAAACTTTTTGATTTTGCCGCCGATTACGGCGGCCGACGCCGGTCAACGGTAGCCGGCGAGGCAGCGCGGTGCCGGATTATGGGTTCACATGAACCCCACGGCGGCGTGTTCATCCTTTTGGATGAACACTTGAAAGAAAACAACGTAAAGGGAGCGGTTCTCTCGGTTTTGGAAGAAGAAAATGAGAAATTAAACCAAATCAATGGCTTTTATAGCAACTCGCTTACCTGGATTAGGGTCCGCGCGTCAACCCGCCTCGATTGCCTAACCCGCGCATTTTCGAGCATTTAGGGTAAACCACCCTTTTCGTCCCTCCCATTTTAAACTCCTACTTTTGAACCCAGTTCGATTTTCCTCCTGGATTTTCATTCGAAATTGACCCTCAAATTTAATTATCGTTTCAATTTCATCCTTCTGGTATTAATATATATATATATTTATTTATTTCCCTTATTATTTTTACTATTTTTAGTATTTTCTTTAAAAAAAATTATTATTACCATTATTCTTACTTATCATTTGTTTATTTATTTTCTATTTTATTTTTATTGTATTTCCTCTAATATTTTTATATATGTATATATATTATGTATACTTTATGTAATTTTTATTATTATTTTTCTAATGTCTTAGTTATATGCTATATTTTATTTATTTATTTTTCTTCTCTCTATTTTACCTTACGTTTTTATACTTGTCCTTATTTTTATTTCATTCATGTTCTCTACCTTTATGTTAATTATGTTTATTGTTTATTTTTGTCTATTTTGTTCTTTATCGCACTTTGTTTATTTTTTAATTTATTTTCACCACCTTTTTCTTAACGCTTTTCATGACTCTTTAAGGGTATACTTTCAAATCGATCGAGGATAAGCAGTTGGGATCGTTATTTTACCTTTTAATTTGAAATTACAATTTTCTTAATTTAAGACAACTGAAAATTACATAGTACCGAAAGGGCAGTTCAAGGGTGCTAACCCTTCCTTGACTGTAACCGACCCCCGAATCCGACACATCTCTGGTAAGACGCAGATCAGGTAAGAAGTAAGGTATCCGGTCAACCTATTTATTTTCAAATAAATGGTCGGTGGCGACTCCAATCCACATTTTCCTAAGTCGAAGCCCAATTCCGGGGCCCAACCGAAAGACGGTTGCGACAATAATAGACTGGTTTGTTATTTCTTTTAGCAGTTTCCCGATGCCTGGATTGACTATGGATGCAATGAATGGAGAAACTAGAATTGAAGAACATAACAAAGGATTCTACTTGCCTTACAAGGACATTTTCACTCAAGAAAGGTCTCCAAGAAGTGCGTTGAGTCCACGAAGTGATTCCCTTGATTTAGCCATTGATGGTGTGGTGTCAACATCCATTGAGCAGCTTTATCACAATGTTTATGCGATGCAAAGCTCTGATCAATCTTCATCAATGTCTAGCTATGGATCGTATGGTGAGGAATCAAGGATCGATTCCGAATTACGCCATCTCATCGGGGATTTCGGTGTCGTTGAAATGACAAAGGAGGTGCAGGTAGCCGAGAAGAAGGAAGATGAAGACAGTGTTGGTGGCTTGAGCATTAAGAAAGAAAATGTGGTTACTGATAAAATGCCTGTGAAGAAGAACAATGACAAGATCCAAACTCAAGGTGGTGTTAGGCATCGTCCCCACTTGCACTCCCATTTTCCGGTTCTTGAACGCTCGATCGAAATCCCAGTGATTGAGGATGGCCAAACTCATGCACTTGCTAAATTTGCTGGATGCATGCATCTGGGTGACACTTATGCCATGTTGGGTCAAATTGAGAATTCTATTTTGTGTTATACAGCAGGTTTGGAGATTCAAAAACAAGTTTTGGGGGACACAGATCCTCGAGTTGGCGAAACATGTCGATATGTGGCTGAAGCACATGTTCAAGCGCTATGGTTCGATGAGGCTGAAAAGCTTTGTCAAATGGCTCTTGACATCCACAGGGAGAATGGTGCTCCAGCTTCTTTTGAAGAAGCTGCTGATAGGAGACTCATGGGACTCATCTGTGACTTAAAAGAAGATTACGGATCAGCACTTGAGCATTATGTTTTAGCTAGCATGGCCATGGCAACCAATGGATGTGAACTCAACGTTGCTTCAATTGATTGTAGCATTGGAGATGCATATTTATCATTAGCTCGGGTCGATGAGACAGTTTTTGCCTTTCAGAAGGCACTCACAGTGTTTAAATCTGCAAAAGGAGAGAACCATCCATCAGTTGCTTTGGTTTTCGTTCGGTTGGCTGATTTGTACAATAAGGTAGGAAAGTTAAGGGATTCCAGAACTTATTGCGAAAACGCACTCCGAATTTATGCAAAGCCAAATCCTGGAATTCCCTTAAAAGAGATCGCTAGTGGCCTCATTGACATTGTTGCAATCTGTCAATCTATGAATGGATTGGATCACGCACTCAAACTACTTAAGAAGGTGTTAAGTATTTTCAGTGAAGCCCCAGGGAAACAAACAACAATTGCAGGTATTGAGGCACAAATGGGAGTCATGTATTACATGATGGGGAGCTATGCTGACTCCTACAACACCTTTAAAAGTGCCATCTCGAAGTTTCGAGCGAGTGGAGAGAAGAAGTCTGCTTTGTTCGGGATTGCACTCAATCAAATGGGGCTTGCCTGCATACAACGGTACTCGATAAATGAGGCAGCCGATCTGTTCGAAGAAGCAAGGAGCATTTTAGAGAAGGAATATGGTCCTTATCACCCTCATACATTAGGGGTATATAGCAATTTGGCAGGCACCTATGATGCAATGGGGAGGTAAATTTAAAAAAAATATCCATTGTGAAATGCATTTCATATTCAACACTCACACTCGAATATGAGTCACATAGGTTCGTTCTTCATTATTACTAATTCTATGTTTCACAGGTTAGATGAAGCCATTGAAATCCTGGATTATGTTGTTGACATGAGAGAAGAGAAGCTTGGAACAGCAAATCCTGATGTCATTGATGAGAAAAGAAGGTTGAGTGAATTATTGAAGGAAGCAGGCAAGGTCCGAAGCAGAAAATCAAGAGCATTAGTCACCCTCCTTGACACCAGCACTCAAATAATCAAAGATGATGTCATTAAGGTATCAAAATCCTGTTTGTAGGTATATAATGTAAAAATTCTAATTGTAAAAGGGATGATTAAATGGTTGGTTTATCTGAATCACTGTCGCATATATAAAGAGAAACCTGGTTTCAAAAGTTTTGTTGAGGGGTTAAAAGAAAATTTATATGTTAACATTTCTTATATGTATGTTGCAATCTTATCAATAAAGCAATGGAGACATTTTCCTTATATGAAATTCTTTTTGGTTGTCAATTTCTACCACATCAAAGTAAGAGACCAACCATTGATTTCTACAACAGCAACTTGCATCCAATCATATGCTTCCAAGGTCGTGCTTGTAATACCCCAAATAGTAGGTCAGTGACTAATTTGAAAGGAATTAAAATTTTAGAGGACTAAATTGAATAAAAGGTAAAGTATAAGAAATGACTTAAGTAAGACCAATTTGTAAGAGATAGATTAATGAAAGGGCATTTTGGTCTTTTTAAGTGAAATGAAATTAAAACCCATTTAAAATTAGGGATTTAAGAAAAAGGGGAAAGTAAGTCAACAAGCTATCTCTTCTTCTTGTTCTTCTTTCCCATGGGTTTTGCTCTCCTCCATGGCTCCAAAGGTAAACTTCAATTAATCAGTTTTTCCTTTCGATTATGGGTTGTTTTTGCAACCTTAAATCATACGTAAGCTTAAGGAAAGGTTATATAAGATTAGAACTATGGCATGGAGGAAATATTAGAGAATTAAGAAAATGAGTTTTGAAATGATATGTTAAGATATAAGTGTTTATTGATGATTATTAGTAGTTTTGACTTGTCAAAGTAGTAAATAAGAGATTAGAAGCATTCAATGAGTTTAAAAAAACAAGCTAGAAAATATGGTGTGATTCTTATATTCAAGTAAACTTGAGAGATTTTAGATGTTTTATGAAGCTAAATGAAGGAAAATTAGTAGGGATAAGTAGAGAAGAGCTTAATAGTATTGTTGGGGGGTAAAACATAAGGAAATTTAACCAAATTTGGGTAAGATTCAGGCTGAAAAATGTAAAATCTGGGTAATGGTATCGGTACTGATAGAACATGACCGATACTATAGGCTTAATATTGGTAGAATCAGTTAAGTTGTATCGATATTGATGCAAGAAGTATTGATACCAAGAGGGGAATATCGATACTTGGAGGATGGTATCGATACCGTTGTTAACAAAATGCATAAATGGTATCGGTACCATAATAGAGTATTGGTACCGTAGTATAGTAGTATCGATACCAGGGTAAGGGTATCGATACTATTGAGCCAGAAATATGAAGATTGTTATAGAAAATATAATAATAGTAATTTTAAGTATTGTTTAAGTATAAATGTTACTAAATATACTAATAATTGATATTGTACGTGTCTTTAATGAATGCTTGAGTAGATCGAAATCAAGCTTCCGAGTCAAGCAAAATTAAAGGTAAAAGCAAGGTAGCTGAGTAATCAGATTGGCGTATTGGGTATAATAGCGAAGCAAGCCAGGTGAGTGCATTTAATTGTGTAACTATATGTTATACTAGTTATAGATGTATGATTGCTTAATATGTGTGTGGTGATTACCAAATAGGCACCAAGTGTGCAATTCACGGAATTCATCATATGTTGATGAATAAATGTTTCAACACTAAGTGTGCAATTCATGGAATTCATCATATATTGATGAATAACCATTTCGGCACTAAGTGTGCAATTCACGGAATTCATCTTATGTTGATGAATAACCGTTTCAGCACTATATGTGCAATTCACAGAATTCATCACATGTTGATGAATAACCGTTTCGGCACTATGTGTTCAATTCACGGAATTCATCATATGTTGATGAATAACCGTTTCGGCACTATGTGTGCAATTCACGGAATTCATCATATGTTGATGAATAACCATTTCGGCACTATGTGTGCAATTCACGGAATTCATCATAAGTTGATGAATAACCGTTTCGGCAATAAGTGTGCAAATATGCGGAATTCATCATGAGTTGATGAATAACCGTACAGGCACTATGTGTGAAAATCCACGAAATTCATCATGAGTTGATGAACTACTGTATAGGCACTACGTGTGCATCTTAATAAATGAACATGAATAGGAAGTTGGTAAATTACAATGTTAGCGCTAAGGGTGCAAATGTATAAGGTTTATAATAAATTAAAAAGAGTTAGTTGATATTATAAATAATTATTAGAGTATAAACTATTACAAAATAAAAGATTAATAGTCTAGATATGCATTTGGGAGGAATGTGTCAATCATGTAAATTAGTTGAAAGGCTATATGCCTTTGGATAAAAGTCTAAATGCTTAATAGTGCAATTTGACATAAATGAAATGCATAACGGTACATTAAATGCATGAAAGGATGTTATAACTGAGATTAATGAATAATTACTAAAGAATAATGGGAAAATGCACGGAAAGAAAGGTATGTTGGACATACTAAGAATGTTTACGATGATAGTATAAAAGAAATTTGGTTTAAATAAGAGGGACTCATATAATCCTTATGGATGATATGAAGAAGTTCAAAACCAAGTAAACCTAACATACTTAAGTGTATAGAAATGTTTTTTTACAATACTATGTCTCACTAAATAAATATTTAACACGTGTTTATTTCACGTGTAGGTAAGGGTAGACATTAGTCGAGTAAGGAGTGCAACAGTAGCATCAACTATTATCAATTAAGGTTGACTCGTCAGTAACTATAGGACAATCTGGCTTGTTTTGGAAAATTTAGTTGGCATGTAATTAAAGTACGAAAAATGCTCTAAATTGTATTTAAGTAGAATCTCTTAACATATTTCAATTACTGTTTTGCTTTATATTAAAAATGTTATGTTTTAAGAAAATTTAGAAACAAAATTTTACAGGTTTTTTAAAAGAAGAAATATTTTAAAAGTGATGTGACATTTGTATCTCGTGTACGGAAAAATATACAGGAGATGAGCGTTACATTTATTGGTATCAGAGCTACAGGTTTAGCCGATTCTCAGCCGAAACTGGGTTTAATTGAATTGAGAAAAATGATAACATGCCATTAAGATTGTCAAAATTACTATTATGGAGCCAATTAGAGTGTAACTGATGTCACTCTTTATTAACTTGAGTGTTATTCTTATGTATGTCCTAATAGATGTCAGAAACTAAGGAAAAAGGTAAGAAAGTAGATGATATTGAAAAGAAGGCCGATATCAAAATCGACCCAAGAGAATCCGACATAATTTCAGTATCATGCCGTAGAAGGGTAAAAGCTGCTAGGGATATTCATGTATTCTATGGAAAGAATGCCCCAGCGTTTAACGATTTTATGCATTTGAGGAAATGAGTAACCGGTAAATATATTGACCACTAAAAGCTTATAGAAAGATTAGTTATTAGGGGATCAATTGATTATGAGTTGGTTAAGAATAAATGTTAAGTTTTATGGATCTAATAGAGTTACTTTTAGAAGGTAATTGATGAAAATAGTTTTTCTACCCATTTCATACTTCAATAAATTATTATTTAAAATCGAGATTTAATTATCAAGAATTTGGAAAATTGTCAAGTTTGTAATGATAGTAAAAAGAGTAAATTTCTTTAATAGTGTAATTTTTAGCATTTACTGCTATGAAGTTATTTTTACAAAGTTCTCAAGTTTTTTTATTAAAAAATGTGGATAATTAGACTTTCATAGTTAAGAGAGAAAATGTTTCACTTGCTCAAGAATATTTTAAATGGATTTTAAAAAGTTGCATGGATCTCCTCAAAAAGGAAATGAAAGATTTTAAAAATAAAAGTATTATATTCAACTTAATCTCGAGTGAGATGATAGTGGTAAACCCTAGTGGGTCATAATGCAAGTGTGAGTTGGACAGGTAGTAAAAATTTAATAAAGATTACAGGGGCTATGTTCCTTGTGAACCTAATGGAATTATCATTTAATGATTTAAGATCATATTGGGTATAGGTTGTTTGTCTCCAAAGATGATTAATTCAGAAAAATGCAGAGGGTATGGAAATTATAGTTTTTGGTGAGAAAGTAAAATCATTGCTCAAGGTGATATCGATAATGATTGTGAAAGAAATGAAGTCAGATATATATATATATATATATAGCTTTTCTAGCTAATGCGATAGATACTCAATTAATTAAAGTAGAATTGTCAGATAATTTCACAAAATTGAGAACTTATAGATGTATTTTCAGATAAATTCTTGGGGTTACCTCCAGAACGAGAGGTGGAATTCAAAGTTGATGGTTATTAAAGTTGTTTTAGCATACGGTATAAGAAGACATCTGAAGAAAAACTCATGTTGTAGTAATTGGAAACTCCCAAAAAATGATCCTGATGTTTGGATTTCTTCGAGGGCTTGCTGGTTACTATCGAAGGTTAGTGAAAAACTTTCGACGTTAGCTTTGCTGCCAAAGAAGTTTTTTTTAAAGAAATATATGTCTTTTGTAGAATGAAAAAGGGTCAAGAGAATTTTGAAATGCTAAAGAGGATTGTAATAGAGACACTAGTGTTTATACAGCTTGAGTTGGGTAAGGATTATGTGCTTTTACTGATACATCTATCAACAATTTAGGAAATGTGCTTATGCACAAAGGTAAGGTTGTGGCATATGCCTTGATAAAGTTAAAGACTCACAAAAGGAATTATCTATGCATGATTTAGATTCGGCAGTTGTCGAGTTGCCTTAAAAGATTTGACGTCTTTATCTATATAGTGAGCAATGTTATAGTTGTGCTAATTACAAAAGCCTAAAATACTAGTGGAATTGAAGATAGTGAACTTGAGACAGAAAGATGAACATAACCTTTAAAGGTGTATGAAATGATCATTGATTACCTTCCAGGAAAGGTCAATGTTGTAGTGGAGGTACTTGCTCAGAACCTTTTGCAGTTTTGCGAGCTATGAATGTGCAATTAGCATTGAATGAAAATGACACTGTAGGATGAATTAAAGATGACACCGATGTTTTTATTAGATCTAATATTAGAATTACAAAGGAAAGGCGAAAATTTATTAATAAGAATTTTATAAGTAGGAAATGAAGAGATGGAGAACTTTTGAAGTCAGGTTCGACGGATGTTCGTATTATTGTGGGAGACTTTGTTTTCCCGACGATTAAGAATTTAGAAAGATATTCTTGTTGAGGC